AAATCACCGGTTAAAATTATCATATTGTAAGAATTGTGTAACTGTGATAAAAACGCTGAGAATTCAATAATAAAAAGGCTGCACTTTTTAGGTGGCCTATAAATTATTACTGTTAAAATTTTGGGGTTGCTAAAAACAAGAGAGTGATACTCAAAACTTGAGTATTGGTTAAAAACAATAGGTTTGGTGGCCAGGGCGTTACTGCATATTGAGGCTGTGCCGCCACCTCTCTTTCCTTCTCTAGTTTTAAAAGCAAAGCTAAAATCGGATGGGGAAGCCTCTGTAAGAACAGCCGGAGCATCCGGACCCAGCCAGGTCTCAGTTAAAAACATACCATCCAGTTTGTGTTCTAAAATCAAATCGTTTACAGTAAAAGTCTTATTTAAAAGAGAGCGTACATTTAAAAGAGCAAACCTGATATAACAATAGAAGGGTATTTCCCACCTCCAATGTTAATACAATTAAATGTTATGTCCTAATTAAAACGTAAATTCAACATTTACCTTTACCTCATCATGGCCGCTCCTCTCTCCGCTCCGTGATCCCTGCTACTGCGGGACGCTCACGTACAACAGCACGGCCTGATAATAGTGTGCAACGTCCGAATCGCCATCAGAATGAGTCCACTCACTCAGTCATCCATCCATCCATCCATTTTCTACCCTTTAATCCATTTCTGGGTCAGGGGGGTGGCAATCAGAGATGCCACCCAAGTCTCATAGCACCAGCCCCTCACTGACCCTCTGCAGGTGGTGAGTCCACAGGAGGAGGGCTGCTCTTTGAGTGTGAGCATAGTCACTCACTCACTCACAATTGTCCCGCACGATATAGTGTGGACATTCGGATAAAGCCAAAGTCGTGTTCTGGCCCTGGCTACATCTATGGAGGATTGGCTGATCGATTGCTTTGTTCTTGATTTACCCGGAAATAAAGCATGACATTTCAAGCAGCGAAAAAAAATGCAACAAATTTTTGGACACTGAATTTTTTTCAACATTGAATTTTTGGACACCGAATTTTAAAACATTGAATATTTTGACACTGAATTTTAAAACAATGAATTTTTGGACACTGAATTTTAAAACATTGAATATTTTGACACTGAATTTTAAAACATTGAATATTTTGACACTGAATTTTAAAACATTGAATTTTTGGACACTGAATCTTAAAACATTGAATTTATTTACACTGAATACTTTTTTGTTACAGTTTATAGAATTCAAAAGCAAAAAAAAGTGTTGATAATAAAAACTCAAAATAACCTTCATAAGGGACTACTCGTGGCCATTTTGAAAAGCTCCATAGAAGGCAAAATTGATGGCACAATTGTTAGAACTGCAGAGATGGGCGTGACTACGTCCCTAAATATTTACCGTCTATGGTTTGATTCTCTGATCTGTTATTGAAGAATCGACAGCTTTGTAAAGTCCTCCGAGACGGCTGCTGTTGTGGTGTAGGGCTGTACAAAAGTAAACTGTATATTAGGCGCTGAAACTAAAATAATACTATAATTGTTGTCATATTTATGCACAGACGGGTCTAAGGATTCTCTGATCTGTTGTTGGCAAATCAACAGCTTCGTAAAGTCCTCTGAGATAACTGCTGTTGTGATTTAGGGCTATACACAAATACATTATATTGAATTGAACTATGGCACAAAAAGGCTGCGTTTCGGTTGTAGCAAAAGACAAATGCACACAATGACTGATGTCCCAGTGCTTTACTGTGAGTTAAAAAATGCTATGCATTTACAGTTATTGCACAGTAAATATTTACAGTTATTGCAAACAACTGTAAATACAGACTTCTAACTGGTTTTAACAGAAGGGAGCACCTCACCCCAGTTTTAGCATCCCTCCACTGGCTCCTTGTGCGTTTTAGAATTGTTTAGATTTTACTGATCACTTTTAAAGGTCGTTTAGGTCTGGCACCAAGCTATATTTATGAACTTTTAACCCCCTACGATGTTCTCCAGGCGATCTGCTTTCCCCAGCAATAGTACAATTGTTGCACGTGTAAAGAAGAGGCAGCATCTGACGATTCACAGTGGCTTTATTGTCCTTTAGCACGACAGGCAACTGCAGGTTCACAATCATGTTCTCTCTGAAACTCTCGTCACTTTCTCTCTCTCTACTCACGTGAGGCCCTCACATTAACTCAAAAACAGGCGAACGCCACCTGATGGCGCCAGTATGCTATTTTAATGTAAACTAACATATACTGTGCCTTCATATAGTCTCAATAAGACATTAAAAATAAATAAAAAGTAAAAAATGAAATATTACAGGGGTGTCCGAATTTAACCAGTAAAATGCAGCCTCGCGGAAATTCAATTTGGAAGACGTCAGCAAAGCCACCCCTTCCAGGCCGGCCTCGCAGCCGGCCTGGATCGCACAGCAAACGCCCATTTCCAACCAACCTATGCCGGCCAGGCCAGCCGCTTAAAAGCGGAGAAACTCCCACTTTACGGCCTTCTCGAAGCCTTGCAAACCACCGCCTCCCCTCCTCCTCCTTTTCTCACCCTGCCTCAATCATGCCTCTTCCTGCTGCCCGAATGCCGCCACCAGTGCCTAGGTCCCGGGGGATTGTGCACGCACTCTCGCAGGAGCCTCGCTGACTGAACGCCGCACCGGGACCTAGGGCGCCAAACTACCTTCAATAAAATACTTCAAATGCATTTTGTCTCCTCGTCTCTCCAGATTGAAATGTCCTTATTCCCACACAATAGTCCCCCATAACACCTTCTCTCACCACCTCTCTCTGGGGCCAGGACTCCCCTGAGAAGGAGATTCTTTTGTATCAGTGGAACTTTCCTGGTTAATTAAAGGTTATACAAAATACATAATGTTAATTCACTTTGTATAGAGTGGTGATAAACTACTACAGTAGAAAGAATTTATTTTGAACTTTTGAACGAAATACAGATGTACAGTTTGAGAAGTGGTTGAACGTAGCAAATACTCATGCGCACACACACACACACACACACACACACACACACCAGAAAACACACACTTACTCTGACCATACTGAAATCGTCTTTAAGTGAATGATAATTGAACATGTTTTATAATCCGAAACACAAATTGATTTGCGAGCGGTTAGGGTTAATGTAGAAACGTTGTTTGCTTTCACTTTAAGGTATATTGGAGGATTTTCCCAAATTTTAGGAAAGAACCTTCCTTTCCACTTTTTGAACAAAACTATCTGGTCTTATTTGACGAGCACGTGTCACCAGAATGATTGAGAATTAGGAGGACCAATAGTCTTGATGATCCACTCGGGAGTGGAAAATCCTCCTATATACCTGTACCTTTGACTGTAATAATGGAGAGCAACTCTATCATGGAGTAAGTTTTCTAAATTAGTCAACAGAGAGTTTCCAGATGCCTTGAACAGTGATTGAGCTGTAGCCACAGAGACAAGGATCGACCCCGCACACAGCAGACACAGACTCTGCAGTGTGGGTGAAGTGTTTTGCCAAAGAACACCACAACTTGCTTTGCTTATTTCAGGCTTAAAGAAGCTATACCCGATTTATTTTCTAATAAGTTCATAAAAATGCCTATTACTACATGTTGTATTAAAATCCGTCATTTAATTGAAAACTTGAGCTCATTGATTCAGAGGGAAATAAAGCGAAAAAATGATCAAAGGAGAAATCAAGTACAAGTGAATATACGTAGCATTAAGCTTAACGTACATCGACAGAGAAACTGGAGACAACTAGTTGCAAGGCGGCTTTTGGCAACTGAGATTAGATGATGGAGATGATCAGTTGCCAAAATCGGTCGATGTGAGCGCTCTTACAACTGGAGATAAACAGTCGATCTCCGGATTCAGTCAGTTGGCCGTTTTCTACTTTTCGGCAACTAGTTGTCCTCAGATCCAGAGATATGACCCAATGTGCGCGCTCCAACAACATGTGTGTATTGCGTGTAGTGCGCGCCCTCTACAGTTTGTCAGAAAACACACTGTAGTTGAGGCCAGTTGCTGTTGATGTACGCGCTGTTATTCCCGAGACTGGCCTGATACAAGAGTTGCCCATTTTTGCCAGATTGTCGATGTGTGCAGGGCAGCAACTCATATGCGACGGATACAGTATAATCAGTTGCCAGTCCGATGTACGCTAGGCATTAGCTTACGTCGCATCCCCCGGAGAGACCTGCGGGAACGGGACTATCTATGCTCGGACATTTGGACGCTAAACTAGCGGTAATCTCTCAGTTATATATTTTATTAGCAGTGCGTTGCTTTTGTACCATCTCATCAGTGATTGTTGTACAGCTTACAAGTCATTGCTGGCTCATAACGCAACAATGTGTTCCTCATTTGTTTTGCTTGATGCATAGTAGGCTCAGAATTATATAGTGCAGCCTGTTTAGCCTCTCTTTTTTTGTTGTTTTTTAAATCAGGCTTAAACGGTGCGTGCCTCACCGTTCATGTACCTCACCACACTTCCCCGGCCCAACTGTCTCACCAGGTGTTATCCCTAAACTGTAAATAGATGGAAATGTTTTTTCTCAGTAACTGTTTGGCTCTCTATATCCTTAATCCTTATATGGCTCATATTTTGATTTACAAAGACACTTTCAATCAGATGCCTCCACAGAGGAAACTCCTGCTTGCCTTGGCAACCGTCTTCGCAACCTGTCTGTCCCTGGTATGGCGCAAAGCTAACACTGAGGAAGAAGTGGAAATTGGCTCCAGCTTATGTTCCACTCCGCATTAAGGCTAACACTATGGTGACGTCAGCACTCACACCACTCCTAATGTAGAGTCTATGGTGTTATTGAGGTCTCCCATCACAGTACTAAACAGGCCCTGCCCTGCTGAGCTTCTGAGATCTGACAGGATCAAGCTTCACATGCAGGTGGCGCCACACGTCAACAATGAAAAACAACATACAATCCTCTTCCAACACATGTCTTTCACGTCATACCGAGGATTCTCCGTCACATTCTCAACAGAACCTGGTCCAGACTCTTTCACGTTCCTTAATTACTGTTCATCTTGACGTCGTTGAATTTGACGATGCGGCCGTCGCGCATCACCAGCTCTTTCTGTTGCCACATCTCCACCTCGCCGTCCTTCTCCTCAAACCTGCGCACCACCACTCGTCCATGCGCGGGTAAGTTACAGGGCATGTCCTTCATCGCCTCGTCGTACAGCTTCATCTTCATCAGGTCTGGAGCGAGCTGTGCGTCTGCCTTGACCACAGGGAGGTGGTGCTGGTTTGGCCGAGGAGGTGAGGGGGAGGCGCGGAGGCCTCTGAGCTGAGGCCTGGGGGAGCGCTCCCAGTGCAGAGGGGATGGAGAGCGGTTGATTGGATTTCTTAAAGCAGGCGGAGGGAGAGGCGAGGGAGAGGGGTGTCTGTCCCTGTAGGGAGAGTGGGCTGTGATGTGCGGGGAGCCGGCTCGGTTCATGGGGGACGGGGAGCGGTTTGGAGAACGGTTGATGTTTGCGGGTGGTGCGAGGCGATGCATTCCTGCTCCACCTGTGGGCAAGAGATCCACATCAGTATCAAGTTCAAAAGTGACACTTTATAACAAAAAACACTGCTTCCTTCTCCTGAGGTCCTGGTCATCAGGCCCTGCCCTGCCTAGCTTCAAAGATCTGAGGGATCAGGTTTTCACATGCAGGTTGTGCCACAAGTGCATTACCTTATCGAATAAGCATCTGAAATTAGGCTATTATCAACATTGTAGGAAATGTTAGCTATAGAGCATAAGAGGATTTCAATGTTGACCCACCTGCTTTGCTTTTATCCACGTCTGCAACTCTTATAGCACTGATGACCCCGGCCATGGTGGCGCGCAGTGAAGGGTCGGGCTGCACCATGCGGCACACGGCGCTGCAGTAGGGGCTGTCCTTCAGAATCTCTTTGATCTTCTCTGGGTTCACGCTGGTGGTGACCAGGCGGACGCGGGCGCACAGTTCAGCGATGATCTTTCCCATGGCCCAGACATCCGAGCGCTGATCCCGCTGGCTGCCGATCCTTAGGACCTCCGGGGCAGAGTACGCTTCGTTGCCCATGTCCATCGCAGAGTTCAGACCATTTTTGAAGAACTTGGCCAGCCCCAGGTCGATGATGACGGCTCTGTTTGTGCCGTGTTCCACCTGCAAGAGAGGTGAAGGAAAGGTGTCAAATAGTATTGAGATCTTCTTAATTGCCAGACTTCACATACTACACATGTTACTTGGTACACAAAAGCAAAAGAGCACTCTTTGATAAACTTAAAATGACTTCCAGATGATAAATTCATCTGGAAGTAACCCTTTGCTTCAGGCAATGAGACATGTTGAAGACAAGCCTCTTAAGAATGAGGAAAGAGATTAAGTTCATATGAATGCTGCAGTCTTCTCTGCAGAAGCTGCTGTACAAGTCTGGACAAAGAAAAGTTTAAAATATTCTATTGAGAGAAAAGCACAACCAGCCAGGGATAGGATATGACCATAATGTTTGTCTCCATCCATTAAAACTCATGCAACGTTTGTCGCAGCATTTCCCTTTCTGCAATAGAGCCAAGTGTTAGGGGCAGTGCAACACACAGAGATCTCTCACTCCAGACGCTAGGGCAGGCCTTGAATACTTTCACCATCACATCCTGGTGCCCTCTCACCGTGCCCTCTCCCCTCTCCCCGTCCTGGAGGAGTGTCTCAAGAGACATGAACTCTATCTGCAAATGATGCAGATAGAGTTCAGATAGAGCGCTTTTAAATAAAATGTATTATTATTATGGACTGATCTACTCTCTGTCTGTCTGGACGGAGGTTTTTCCCACCGTTTTTGTATGTGTTATTGTTAGGTTGAAAACCAACTACAACGTGACCTTTTGTGCATGAATGGCATATAGTCAACATTAAAACAGGTTTGGCCAGTCTTGTTTGCCCACTTAGATAAGAGAACATTTATTTGGAAGTTTGGAAGTCAGTCCAATATGGCAGAATAAATAAAGTAGAAGTAACATTCTGAAATTGCAGTATTGCACATCATTGCAGTATTTACTATTTAGAAATGAGATGACATGCAGGCCTAGCATTTCTTTTTGTACAGTCTGACAGCAGCAGGGAGGAAAGTCCTGCAGAATCTCTTCTTCACACAACAAGGGTAGATTAGTCTGTCACTGAAGCTGCTCTCCCAAGCAGACAGTGTACTGCAGGGGACGACAGTCATGGTCCAAATAGATGTTCGTTTGTCGGGGAGGAAGGTCCCAACTGCTGCACTGTGTCCAGGGGACAGGACAGAGCTGGACTTCCTGATGACCTTTTCCAGCTTCTGTCTGTCCCTCTCTGTGCTGCTGCTGCTGCAGACCACACCGTACAAGAGGCTGATACACATCCAGCTACAGCTCCACACCTTTTGAGAAGAAGCCTTGTCTATTGAGACTGTACTCTGCAGTACTGTCTCAATAGACTCTGTACCCCTACAGCTGACTACATCACCCCCGCACTACATGTACGACAACTCGGCTTACTGTTAAACAACGCATCAACTTCAAAATACTCCTCACTACTTTCAAAGCACTTCACAACCTGGCCCCAGTCCGTACTTATCTGACCTCCTCCACCCTGCCACTCCTGTCGGCACACTCCGCTCCTCCTCCACTCTCACACTCTCCGTCCCCCCAGCCAGACTCATCACCGTGGGACTCAGAGCCTTCAGCCACTCTGCCCCCCAGCTCTGGAACTCTCTCCCCCCTGACCTCCGTACCATTGTCTCTCTTCCACTCTTCAAATCCAGACTCAAAACCCATCTGTTCAGACTGTCCTACCCCATGGTCCTACACCACCTAACACACACGCACCCACCATTCTGTATTGCACTTCTGTTTTTATTATGTCCTGTACAGTGTCCTTGGGTGTTTTTAAAGGCGCTTTTAAATAAAATGTATTATTATTATTATTATTATTATTATTGTACTGACCATGATGTTGTCTGGCTTCAGGTCTTGGTGGACAATGTCTCGCAGATGCAGATGGAAGAGGCCTTCACACATTCCCACAATGATGGTGGTTTTTGCAGAGCTGGTCGACTGTGAAAGACACAAGATAACATTTGAACCAGAATTACATTGAGAAAACACAGTGTAATGTTACTTACACCATGATCTTACCGGCACTTTGGACTTTGACACTTTGAAAATAGTTGTCTCCAAATCCTCCCCGTCAATGAACTCCAGTGGAATGACATATTTTCCACTTTTGAGGGTGACAGGGCCCAAGAGTTTCACAATGTTGGGGTGCTCCGCTTTTCTGAAAGTACACATTATATCACAGATAAATATACTTGAATTCAGGCTATTTATGGGACAATGGGCACATAGGAACATTTCACGGCTTAGTATAACTCTATTTCAATACAGCATAGTAGTTTGACATTGGAGCTTCTCACTCTGGGATCAACAGAAGCCACGTCCAAGATAAAACAATAAATAAGGCATACATTTGACATTAAACAACATTTGAGGCCAAAAATACAACACTTTATTGTCACTGCAGTGATTTGTTTATGCAGTAAATTAATAAAAGTTCAGACTTAAGCATTTTGGAGTTAAGCATTTTGTCTCAGAAGAAGATTTACATGGTTCTTAATGGAGATATTTACTTCTGAGTCACTGTGGACTATGGACCTCTGCACTGACGTCAGCTACAACCCAGCAATGGTGGATGTGCACTCACTTATAGACGGCACACTCCCTCTCCAGGTCCTTCCTGTTGATGAGACCCATTGGGACCCTCTTGATCGCGGCCCACTTGTCATTGTACTTCTCCTTGTAGATTTTGCCGAAACAGCCCTTGGCGATGGTTCCAGTGGAGTACGCCATGGGGAGGCAGCTGGACACAAGCAGTGACCTGGTTATTGACATTATCTACTGGTGTTGTATTAAACAGGACTTATTCAGTGACAGTAAATAGAAATGCAGCCCTAGGCCTTAGTTTTGCTCCCTTTTTGAATTGTGTGTGTGTAAGTAAGTAAGTAATCTTTATTTATATACCGCCTTTCACAGACCAGAGTCACAAAGCAGTTTACAATTGTTATTTTTGGGCATTTGTCCTCTCACTCCACACAGAGATGGGAGCGGGGTTGCCGAACAGGAGGCGCATGCCAGACCTATTGTACATATTTTTAGGGGAAACCGGAGTACCCGGAGGAAACCTACGCAGACACGGGGAGAACATGCAAACTCCACTCAGAAAGGCCCTGGTCCGACCGGGATTTGAACCCAAGACCTTCTTGCTGAGAGGCGAGAGTGCTATCCACTCAGCCGCCCGTGTGTGTAGCATTTCCCTCCCATGTCCTTTGTTTCTGGATCCCTGGCTTGTGATTGGACAACCACTGAGTTGGTTTTATCCTTATCTTTTAGACAGAACCTTTGCGGTCACCATGGGTAATTTTACCCCCTCAACAACCCCATTACCTGTGGTGTGCCGCAAGGTTCCATTTTAGGTCCGATTTTATTTTTTATTTATATGCTCCCCCTAGGACACATTATGGGCCGTCATAACTCTGAGAAAACAACGCAAATCTAAGCAAAATGGAACAGAAAGACTCATAGAATGCCTTTACTGCTGGGTGGGTCTGTCTTTTCTTATCTCTGAACATAGGGACAAACTCAAACCAAGGAGGGGTCGTTCTCCCAGGATACGTCCTCAGCCAATATAGAGATTCTACTACTACTACCACTACTATTACCACTTTTTTTTTTGATATCCTAGCCCGGAGTTATTGAGTGAGAAAAAAAGCTATGCCTCGCAGTTGACTCTGGCCTGGTCTTATTGCCAGAGAATCCCGCCTCGCTTCCCTGAATTTACAGGACTTACAGGTGCGAGCTTCTGGGGATGTGACCCAGAAGGAGGGTAGCGACCCGGGGGAGGCCCGGGTACTGCAGGACTTGGCCTTTCCTTTTCCCCAGGACTTTCCTTCGTCAGATCTACCAGGTCGATTAGTGACATATTTTGTGCTTTTGCGTCTTCTTCGATTTGTTTTATCCATTGTTTTCTTTGTCCGCCTTCTTGTTTTTTCCCTTTTGGTTTCCAGTCACCGGGAGGAGGCCCCGGGGAAGACCCAGGACACGCTGGAGGGAATATGTCTCTCAGCTGGCCTGGGAACGCCTTGGGGTCCCCCCAGACGAGCTGGAGGAAGTGTGTGTGGATAGGGAAGTCTGGGCGTCTCTGCTTAGACTGCTGCCCCTGCGACCCGGCAACGGATGAAGCGGAAGAAAATGGATGGATGTATGGATGGGTTTCCAGTCAAGAATTATTTTTTTGTATTCTTGAGTCTTCCATTGACCTTATTCTTTGACATAATTTAATTCTTCTTTTTGCAATAATACTTTTAGAGCATTTGCATTTTAGTCTCAGCTCTTCAGATGTAACATGAGCGCTGGTGTGAATAATAGTTATCCTTTTCAGTATTGGGTTTTGAAATGCCTCCAGCCTCAGCTTGCTGTCCTTCTTGATGACCCATGTTTCTGATCCATACAGCAGGACGCTGAGCACCAAGGACTTGTACAGTGCCACTTTTGTTTCTAGTTTGTACTCTGCAGAGCTCCAGATCATTGTTAGTTCTGCTGCTCTTCTACCAGAGTCTGCGATCTTCTGCTTTATTTCTCTTTGGTGGTCACCATCGTCCTTTATAATTTGACCCAAATATTTGAATTCTTTCACAATGCCTAGTGTTTTATTGTTTCTGCATTCTGTGTCCCACTGTAATGGAACACTATGTGTTTTTTTTCCTGCTTTGGTTGCGATTACTTATATCGACCCTTCCAGCAGTGCACCATCTTGATATGTGAGTTTTTAGGCCCAGATCAGTATCAAATGATCTCTGGCACTGGTCACACCGGAAGAGTGGGTCATGTTCTTTCCTTATTTGTGCTTCCGCTTTCTTCTTAAACCACCTAGTTTGATGTAGTACTACTCCGCGTGATGTAGAAAAGATTTTTTTGCAGGAATCACAAATGTATCCATCCGCTTTTCTAGCTGCATCCAAATATTGCTATCTTAGAAATGAACTGATTTATTGTTTTGGGACTCTTTGATGTTTCTCACTTTTTTCCCCACTGTTTTTTTTGTGGAGTTCTTCCCATGGTGGTTCCTTGCCGAGGCAGGGGGGTCTAAGGACAGTGCTGATCCAGGACATTTATAAACATTTATGGACAGTGGTCGTCCTGCTCCCTATGGACCAAGGACCAGAGTATGTTTGGATTACATTTCCTGTCTTTGAACTCTTTGACCTGTTCTTGGCAAATGGGCAACGTTGTAAAGTCCTCTGAAACAACTTCTGTTGTGAATTAGGGGTATACATAAATAAATTGGATTCTTTAAAATGAGTAGCTTCTCTGATTACTCTTCTCCAGCTTCTCTCTTGCACAATGATGGACAGAAAGAAGAAATCCCTGAATAAGCAGAGGTGTGGCCTCCGTCTTTCTCAGCAGTCTCTTTTCTGAGTAAGTGTTTTGTCTTCCTGGAAGTATGCCGTCATGCATCTGTGTGCATGTGTCGCAACAGATCAAGATAATACTAACATTTCTTTCCTACATGTGATGGTATAAAAGAATCAAATAACCTTGATGAATTTTCTTAAATGTCCTGGATCATCACTGTCCTTAGGTACAACTCAAAAATTAAAAAAAATTAAGACGGTAGGGAAAATATAAGAGGCCAGGACTGAGGCTATAGATCCAGGACTGAGGCTGTGGATCCAGGACTGAGGCTGTGGATCCAGGACTGAGGCTGTGGATCCAGGACTGAGGCTATAGATCCAGGACTGAGGCTATAGATCCAGGACTGAGGCTATAGATCCAGGACTGAGGCTGTGGATCCAGGACTGAGGCTGTGGATCCAGGACTGAGGCTGTAGATCCAGGACTGAGGCTGTGGATCCAGGACTGAGGCTGTAGATCCATGACTGAGGCTGTAGATCCAGGACTGAGGCTGTAGATCCAGGACTGAGGCTGTAGATCCAGGACTGAGGCTGTAGATCCAGGACTGAGGCTGTGGATCCAGGACTGATGCTGTAGATCCAGGACTGAGGCTGTAGATCCAAGACTGAGGCTGTAGATCCAGGACTGAGGCTGTAGATTCAGGACTGAGGCTGTAGATCCAGGACTGAGGCTGTAGATCCAGGACTGAGGCTGTAGATCCAGGACTGAGGCTGTAGATCCAGGACTGAGGCTGTCAGGTGCAGGACTAAAGAAGGACCAGTCCAAAGCTTCAGTTACATAGAAACAATGTTGTGGCTAAAATATTGATATCAATTCCTTAATTATGTTTAGTTACATATCGAGCATTCCTTAGATACTTCTGTAAATACAGACGTAGAGCTGCCAAGAAGGAAGTGACTTGTGGTTTCATTTATTACATCCACCAGGGTTTGTAAATTCACCAGTGTTGTTTGATGCAGATAGATGTAAACTGTTGTAAAAACGGCCCTAAAACACTCTGCCTGGACACACAGAAGTGAAATGAAAGTCTTTGGGATCTCCTCTTGTGCAAAAAGACAGAAAGGTGCAACATTTTAAAGGTTAAAAATAAAGTCTGTGCAGGATATAATTATGTACAATAAAAAGTGGCAACAGCAGCTGCTTCTTCAGTCCTACTGCAGGTCATTAGGGCCTTTTTGAGGACTATCAACTTCAGCTCTTTTTTAAGTAATAAAGAATATTAAACTCAATTTGACGGAATGAAAAACTATTGATTTGAAGTGATTGTTTTACTTAAAATGTGTGTGTCATTGTAAAGCAGAACTAACTGATCAATTTACTCGATATTTTTGTGTTCATTCAAAGCTTTCCCTCATCAGGAGGAAGTATGTTCGATGTTGTAATCACTTTTTTGTAAGATCCTGAACTCTGTAACTCATGCTGAGAAATAGTGCTTGCAACTCAATTACAGTTCAGTTTTCGTCAAAGCATGTTGCCCAATTAATAGTTTCTGATTGTTAACTAAACTGAACCCAGGGAGTTAATCGTTGCTATGGCTTGACCCTGTCGATCACGGTTGGTAAAAATAAAAACAATTACTTATTTGATCAAATTAGTTTATTCAAAATATTTTGTTTTAGGACTTGCTTCATATTCACTCTTAAAATTAATGCTCAAATGTAGAATTTTTAAGAAGTTTATGTTTTACTTTGCAATGCATTCTGGGTAGCGTCACTGCTTTGCCACATTTTGTTTTCAATCAACACAATATATTTGTTGTGTCAATAATGGGCCACCAGGCTTACAAAATAAATATTTAAAGTATTTTCAATTAAAGCAATAAACTCAGTATTGTACAGGGAGCTATGATAATATTTTACAGTACTTATTTTTTAACCAAAAATATAAAAAAGTGTAAAATGAAGTATATAGTAATTGCTTAAAAGATTTTACATCAAAGTTAGCTCTGATTCACTTATTACAGCAGAGAAAGAAGGAAATAAGAGAACTCAGATTGCACACATCACATTGAGTCAATTATTTAAGATAATAGACAATAAAATTAAAATAAGATAAAGAATTAAATAAAATTAAATGAACTATAATTGCACTTGGTTCAGAAGTATTTACAGATGTGTATATTGTACTTAAGCAGCGGAGAATATGAGAATATGAGTATGAGCAGAATAAACATCAGTAATGATAACAACAGGTAAAGTGACTCGTGACTAAGTGACTCGTGAATTATTATCAGTGACACTTGTGCAGGCTCAGCAGTTCTTGTCATACATTCTCGTTGTACAGTCTGACAGCAGCAAAGAGGAAGGACCTGCGGAACCTCTCCTTCACACAGCAAGGCAAGTTTATTTATATAGCACAATTCATACACAAGGCAACTCAAAGTGCTGAACAAAATAAGAAAGCATTAAAATCATAAATAATCACAGTACATTAAAAAGAAAGATAAAAATATAAAATCCCTCAGTTGTATGCACAGATAAACAGAACTGTCTTTAACGTGGTTTTAAACATTGTCAGAGAGGAGGCCTGTCTCACATCTTCAGGAAGATTGTTCCAGATTTTATTAGCATGAATCTGAAAAGCAGCCTCCCCATGTTTAGTCCTGACTCTGGGCACTAACAGGAGTCCAGTCCCTGTGCTCCTCAGAGTCCGGGCTGGTTCATATGGTACTAACATGTCACTAATATATTTTGGTGCGAGGCCATGGAGAGACTTGTAACAAGCAGAGCTGTTTTAAAGTCTATTCTCTGAGCCACAGGAAGCCAGTGCAGGGACCTGAGGACTGGACTAATGTGGTCGTACTTCCTGGTTCTAGTCAGGACTCGAGCTGCTGCATTTTGAATGTACTGCAGCGAGGATAAGTTAGTCAGCCTTTGTGATGCCCCATTTGCATATGAAGAGGAAACAAGTACATCAGATAGATTTATATGTTTTAGAGAATTACAGACCATGATTTTAACCCCCAATGGAAACAAGCGGGTGGCAGGTGATAATGTAATATCTTGGCTTTAAAGGGCTAGAAATCAGGCTCGCTATTTATGGATATTTCTGGACTTTTCTCACTTTAGCTTAAATTCAAAATGCTTACACTGGTTGTCACTACATTGGCAGCTTTTCCTTTGAAATATACAGTATTTAAAGGCATTTCATGTGTCATGCTTTTTATTGGGACGTTCTTTCAGTTATGTCATTTTACATTTGGCCCCACACGTTCCCCCTTCTATGCCCCCGGTGAAATTTGACCGAGAAAAAAGTTAATACAATGGTTTATTCACGCATCAATACCACAAACATCCCCCACCTGCTTCTATTTATTCAGAGCACCGTTCCCTTTGTTTGCGTTCACACTGTAAAAATAGCTCACGTGGCTCTAACTGGATTTTCTATTTGCCTTGGGGAACATGTACAGATCTAAGTTAGAACTTTAAACAGCTTAAAGATTTGGAGATGTTATACTTACTTATCAATTATGCTAAAGCTAGGGGTTTTATATTGTTTCATTTTTATGCTAAGGTTAGAGATGTTTTTTTATGTTAGTATAGAGTTATTGTTCATTGATCCTGTGCTGTGTGCTCCTCATTCTTACTGCTCTGTAACTGGTGATGCAACTCTGAAATTTCCCCACTGTGGGACTCTTCATCTTAAACTGTTGACAAAAAAACATCCCCAAAGGTTTTGAATATGATAAGCCAACAAAAAAGTGTGTCTTTGTGGATAGATTTTTTTTTCTCCAGCATTTCAATTTGTGCGGAGTAACATTTTTACTACATACATTCTTTATATTTACATAAACTTGAAGGCTCTAGCTTTAAAAATATGCATCACACACAAGTGATGTGTAAAATGTGTTTTAGCAAAGACAACTTTTGTGTACGAGCTAAAAAGATGTTAAAGAGTTAAAATCAAGACAAATGATGAAAGATTGGAAAGGTCTAACAATAAAAACATATGTGTGAAGAGGTTCCATGTTCCCTATAAATTATTCTATCAAAGCTAGGACGTAGGCAGCAGAAGCGGATATTAAAATAATATGGATAATACAAACGTTTTCATAAAAAGGTCAATGTTTCTGGTTTTCCCGGAAAGTTCCAGATCCAGAGCAGGAGCTAAAAAGTCCCTAAAATAGTTCTTTGTTCAACGCTTGCTGGGACTCTGAGGAGCACAGGGACTGGCCTCCTGCTGGGACTCTGAGGAGCACAGGGACTGGCCTCCTGCTGGGACTCTGAGGAGCACAGGGACTGGCCTCCTGCTGGGACTCTGAGGAGCACAGGGACTGGCCTCCTGCTGGGACTCTGAGGAGCACAGGGACTGGCCTCCTCTGGTCCCAGGGTCAGGACTAAACATGGGGAGGCTGCATTTCAGATTCATGCGGCTAAAATCTGGAACAGTCTTCATGAAAATGTGAGACAGGCTTCTTCTCTGACAGAGTTCAAATCCAGGTTAAAAATACTTCTGTCACTGCAACAACACTGCAACTCTTTAATGTATTGTGATTATTTATGATGTTAATGCCTTGTCTTGTTCAGCGCTCTGAGTTGCCTTGTTTTTGAACTGTGCTATACAATTAAACTTGCCTCAACAGGAAGACGACCTATAATAAAACCGAAACGCTTCTTACAGTTCAACAAATGTTTTTGAAAACGTCAGAAACATCTCGACAAACCATAAAAACACGATTAAATGTTGAATCGACAACTAACATTTAAATTATACGTGATTTTGAAATACGGAAAGTATCAGGAAATGATCTGAATACATTTGTATACGTGTAGTAGAAACAAAGGCACACATTTTTGGAAAGCTGACATTTAGTAACTAGAACTTGAAGAAATACATAATTGCAATCAATCACAAACACAATAAATAAAACTAAAATCCCAATCAGAATAGTCTTAAAAGATGGTCCTAAAGCTTTCTACTGGAATGGTTTGGAGACAGAGAAAGTGTCTTACCTTCTGTTCCAGAGTGACGCCTGAGTCAGGTCTGAACATGGACTCACATAGTTTTTACAGTGATCCACGCCTCCTGCAGTTTTACCTGAGGACACAACACACCTGAACACAAAACAGCGCCTTCTGCTGGTGAGAGAGGCCAACAGCAACAGTCAGCAAAAACAAGGGGAAATCACCTACTATTTATCAGCTTTTACCCATGTTTGTAAATCCATCCACGCTAACACTGGACATTCATTATCATGTATGGATAGTGGTCATCCTGTTCCCTATGGGTCAATGATTCAGATTTGTTCATGATCTCGTCTCCCAGAGTGTCTTGGAGCAGGGGGGTCAGTAGCACCCACATACACAGACATAACATAAAAAACAGACATTGTGAGAATGTGTTTGTTAAGCTTATACAGGAGGATTATCCAAAATGTTAGGAAAGATCCGCCCTCTCCACTTTTTTAACAAAACTCTCTGGTTTTACTTGACGAGCACGTATAACCAGAATGATTGACAGTTGAGAGGACCAATAATCTTGATGATCCACCCGGAAGTAGAAAATCCTCCTTTATACCTTGGTGAATGACTCAACAACGACTGCTGTTGAGGTTTAGGGCTGTACACAAATACATTGATCTGAATGTATCTTTATGACGGACTCATTTACCGTCACATGATCCAAAGGGGACAGCCTAAGTCCCGGATCTACAGTATATAGATATTATTCTGTTTGTTGTTTCTATGACTGTGTGGTTTGACATCACAGCCAAAAATAGGAGAGCTCTAAGCATGGTGTTTATATTAGCTATAGCCCAAGGCTGCTATAGTGGGAGTATGTGGACCCAGGTCACGTATAGGCTTGTTGTGCTCAATACAAATCCTTAAGCTCCAAAGGCACGTCCAAACCAATTTATTTTTACAGTGAAATTATAAAATGATCCACAGTCATTAGCCTACATCACGTAATAGGACAGAAAACCACCTAAAACCCATTGGCAGAAGGGTTCAGAGCGTTCAATGTTTGTTGTCTTTTGCAGTTGAATACACAGGGGACTGGTGCTCCTCCTCAGCTTAGTATATTTTCATTTCAGTTTTGCTTCTGATGTCACCAATTCAGCTTTTAAGTCCAACATTTCCTTCCTTAGCTTAGCCTCCTCTTCCATCACATGTTTCGTTTCAGTGTAGTTGGTTGAAGAAACGCTTCAGTTACTATAAATTAAGAAATAGACAACCCCATTTTATTTATATTTGAAACGTAATAACGCCAACACACCAGGCGTTAGGGTTAGGGTTAGAGGGTGCTGCATGCGCTTCTGTGGGGACTAGAGGAGTCTCGGGCTCAGCTTCAGAAGTAACGGTTTCCTCCAAGTTTACAGTTAAATTAAATAACAATTCTTTGGTCTGTACAGTGTTTAACCATGTATGTACAATGTCTGTACTCAGAGTGACAAACAGAATATTTTGTCAAGTTTTGTTAAAGTAGCAATATGCAAGTTTTTTGTGTCAAGTCATCATTAACGACAAAACAATGAATAAAACCAGGATTTCTATCTTTGTGAAAAAGGTGTTGGTTATAGATTTGTTGTTGACAAAACTCTTTATTCAGATGTTATGGCCCCAGCTGGATTCCCTGTGTCAGGGAGAGTGGGAGAGTGCAGTACCACTTTTGGCCAGATTTTTACGTACTGCTCCTTTAAAGATATTAGGATCTTTTACTTCCGGGTGGATCATAAAGACTATTGGTCCTCATAATTGTCAATCATTCTGGTGATACGTGCTCGTCAAATAAGACCAGAGAGTTTTGTTAAAAAAGCAGAGAGGGCGTTTTTTTCCCATATACCATTTTGTTTCTCCTAACGGTCGCCATTTTAACATAATGTTAATTTGTTATAAATATGATATGTGTCTTTGAATGAGAATTGTTTTCTATGTTTATGTAGTTACTTAGACAAGAGATAGTTGGCCGGGTTTTGCTGATCTTTGGTCTGTTAGGGAGGAATAGGAGAAATGTAGTGAGTAAAAGTGTGTGAAATGGTGTAGATGCATAGAATGTGATAATTGTGTGTTTATAAGGTTGTGCAAATGAGAATTTTTTTTATCACGTTTCCATGCATAATCCAGTACATTTATCAACATTTATGGACATTTATCAACATTTATGGACATTTGGTCATCTGCCCCTTATGGACCAATGGCTGTGTTTGTTTATCATTGCATTACTTGTGTTTGAACTGTTTCATTCTCTGATCTGCGTTGGCAAATTCAAAGGGTTGAAGTCCTCCGAAATCACCACTGTTGTGATTTAGTGCTACACAAGAATACATCTAATTGAATTGAATGTATTTTGTCGCGGTATGAGGATTAGACAGCTATATGGCCTACGCAGGATAAACGCAAGGACTCTGATTGTGCATCCATGTTATGACTATAATATGCTCTGACTGTCTCTGAGTTTGCTCTGTCTGAAAAAACTGAAAAAGCTGAATCAACTGCCATTTTGTGATTAAACGACCACGCTTTGATGTACAAGATCCCGTTTTGTCTGAGTCTGATTCTCAACAGCGTTTTTACCATTTTAAAAGAGACAAGTGTGGAGAAATCACGAGTAAAATCAAACGTCTCTACATGGTCAATCCAGAATCGTTGTCGTTGCTGTCTGTCCTGATAGTGACGCCATAGTGAGGACAGATCACCATTCATTATTTCAACACTTTTGTCCTTCTCCAACCTTGATGAGAGTTCTCTTCCTTTGAACGCAACAAAGTCAGTCCAGAACATTCCCCCAAGAACATGAGACATCTCCCTCATGCGTCACGAGCTCTAATATATTCCATGCCGTCACAAATGCATTGGATTTAATGTGTGCACACAATAAGGCCGTCAGAGTGGGGCGTTACACATACCTTTATTGTTGGCCGCCTTTGTGTGTCGTCCAGCGAGGATCGGTGCTCGGCCCTGAAGCCTGGCCCTGCACGGCAAAAAGTGATGAAAAATAAGTCAAAAAATGCTCAAATTTAGCAAAATGTGTCTTCATTTTGACTGCCTTAAAACAAGATTTGCAAATGGGGTGAAGCAAAAAGATCTTGTTTTAAAGAGATACTAGAAATGTCTCCCTTGGAATGAGGAAATAAAGCAACAGTTCTTGACAAAGTTCAAGACTAAATGGCTTTGTCCCGTTGGAGAATCTTTTTTTAACACAGTCAGAATGTACTCAAATGTAAAAACAATCCATTCAAGCAATTATTACCTCATATTGAATCATTTTTCAGTGAATAGCTCGGTCCTGTAGCTCAGCCTCCGAGCGCGCAGCTGTATATGTCGTCGCACAGAACCACAACAAGTGCTCTACACCGTGGCTTATGAACGGGCTCCACGTTTCCAAAGTCTAGAGTGTGTCTGTCTAATTGACTTGGTTTTGACAGTATAGCAGCCAGCCCAATGCTGCTGTGAGGCAAGGCAAGGCAAGGCAAGGCAAGTTTATTTATATAGCACAATTCATACACAAGGCAATTCAAAGTGCTCAAATCATAAATTATCACAGAACATTAAAAAGAAAGATAAAAATATAAAATCCCTCAGTTGTATGCACAGTTAAACATAACTGTCTTTAACCTGGTTTTAAACATTGTCAGAGAGGAGGCCTGTCTCACATCTTCAGGAAGACTGTTCCAGATTTTAGCAGCATGAATCTGAAAAGCAGCCTCCCCATGTTTAGTTCTGACTCTGGACACTAACAGGAGTCCAGTCCCTGTGCTCCTCAGAGTCCGGGCTGGTTCATATGGGACTAACATGTCACTAATATATTTTGGTGCGAGGCCATGGAGAGACTTGTACACAAGCAAAGCTGTTTTAAAGTCTATTCTCTGAGCCACAGGAAGCCAGTGCAGAGACCTGAGAACTGGACTAATGTGGTCGTACTTCCTGGTTCTAGTCAGGACTAATGTGGTCGTACTTCCTGGTTCTTGTCAGGACTCGAGCTGCTGCATTTTGAATGTACTGCAGCTGTTTTACAGCCTGTTTGGACAGACCTGTGAGCAGGCCATTGCAGTAGTCTAACCTACTGGAGACAAATGCATGGATAAGAATCTCCAGGTCTGCTTTAGACACTATGTTTTTGATCCTGGCAATGTTTTTTAGATGGTAAAAAGCTGCTGATGTTACTGATTTGATGTGGCTATTAAGACTATGTGGCTATGAGACTATGTGGACCCAGGCCATTCTGAATCTGTTGCTTTGTTGTGCTCAATAAAAATCCATAGGCTCCAAACGTACCTTGCAATAGTCACCCATGATTTTTTTATTTTTTAAGAACAGATAACAGCAAACTCAGATTCAGAGGTCAAAAAACAATTTTCCCTTCTGGGTCAAATCTGTACTCAACCCTGAACTCATTAATCTTGTAAAACATTGGTCTCCAACCTGTAGCTCGGGAGCCACCAGTAGCTCGCCAAAGGATTTAGAAATGTACAAAATATATCATGTACTAACTATTTCAGATTGTATTATTCATTATATTCTTGTAAATGCATTACTTTGTGCACTAGTAACAGATATGCGATGATAAATAATCATTTAAGTTCACACCAATATATCACCATATTTTTCCCAGGGCTGCTTAAAGGAGTAGCTCTCTGCCGTTATTGTCACGGGAAAGTAGCTCTCTGGGTGAAAAAGGTTGGAGACACCTGTTGTAAAAGATAAAACGCCACCTCATGGACACAAAGACCCATTACACAAAGCAAATTACATTCTCGGCTTTGATACAAACTCGCCATAAATCTCATAAAACAAAAGCCATGTTGTTGGAAATTGTAAAATAGTTAAACACCTGAAACACAATTAAACATAGATGAAACAGTACACATTGAAACAGCATCTGAATACACATTTTAGGTGTAACAGAGAATGTGCCAGAATAAGAAATAGAACCACATAGAACCAAACACTCAACTCTATACACTCCATGGTGTTATTGAGGTCTCCCATCACGGTAACTAACCAGATCACGCTTCACAATCCATAAAACAACAATAAAAACCAACATATAAATCATGTTTTTCCTATCATGTCGAGGACTCTCCGTCATGTTCCGAACAGAACCTGGTCCAGACTCTTTCCTCATTTGTTGAGCTCGACGTTGTTGAACTTGACGATGCGGCCGTCGCGCATCACCAGCTCCTTCTGTTGCCAATGCTCCACCTCGCCGTCCTTCTCCTCAAAGCTCTGCACCACCACTCGTCCATGTGCGGGTACATCAAAGGGCAGGTCTCTCGTCGCAGCTTCGAACAGCTTAGTCTTCACCATGTCTTGACCGTACCGTTTCCCCCTTGATTGGACCACAGGGAGGAGGTCCTTCTTCGGCTCGTCGTGCAGCTTCATCTTCATAAGTTTTGGAGTGAGCTGTGCGCCTGGTGTGACCACGGTGAGGAGGCCCTCTTCTGCAAATCCACCACTCGGCTGAGGCCTGGGGGAGTGCTCTCTCGCAGGGACAGGGTTAGAGGGCATCAGATGTCTTCCTCTGGTGGGGTTTGCAGGTGGTACAAAGCGGTGCGCTCCTGCCCCACTTGTCACTATCAAGTACAAAAATAAAACACTTTATGAATAAAAATGATAACTTCTTTCACTTATAGAAACTTCTCTAAGTGTTTCATTCACTCCACCATCACTCATTCACTAATGCACTAGGATTAAAAACATGCACTGTTTTTTTTGCGTCTAGCATGTTTTTTTTCAACACTGTTCTGTCTTTTGAACAAATCTGAGTCATTCTATCTATGCCAAATGTTTATTTTAATTTTAATTTTAATGTTTATTTGTAGAGCGCCTTTCCTACACAAGGCAACGCAAAGCGCCTCACAACCCATATAACATCATGCATAAATCATCAAACATTAGAATTTAAATAAACATAAAAAGACAGATTAAGAGCACAAGATATATAAAATCACGCAAGTAGTTAAAAACCGTAAAACATTAAAATCACACAAGGGATTACAATCATAAATAATCATAAATAATCATAGCGCATTAAAAAGATTAAAGATAAAAACAAACATAAAATCATTCACTTGTATGCACAGCTAAAAAGAACTGTTTTCAGTTCAGTTTTAAAAACTGCTAGAGTAGACGCCTGTCTCACACTCTCGGGAAGACGGTTCCAGACTCTAGCTGCATGAATCTGAAACGCAGCCTCCCAATGTCTACATGTAACATGTAAATATTTTACTTTGGAATGCGCTGGAAAGTAACTCTGAAACACTAAGTAACTCTGAAACAGTTGCTGTTTTGTGCTTTAGATTTTTTTTATGTTATTGCTTTTTTCTACCTGAGATGTTGCTGCAGTACAGTGTTTATGGTTTTACACGGGTCCAGACCGGAGCGGAGAGGATTCATGATCCAAACCAAGCTAATGCTAATTTTTTGAAAAATGCTAATGAAGCATTTAGCATTTTACTTTGGACTAAAGCAGAGAAAATGGTCCAAACCAAGCAGCTACACCACCTCTGCTGCTGTGACCTGAAGGACTGTTGCTGATTATTACTATTGTTACCTTTCTAGAATGATCAATTTAATTTTTTTATTTTTGCTGCTACTGGACACCTGAATTTCTTCTATGGGGATCAATAAAGTATCGATCTGTCTAAATTTCTCCTGTGTGAGATCAATAAAGTCTATCTTATCTTATCATTCCTTCTCCACCTTCATGCTGTTGCACATTTGGTGGGAGAAACCAGAGCACTCGGAGGAACCCCTCACAGACACAGAAACAGGCAATCTCCAAACCCTTCTGTTCGTCTCCCACAACAGGAAGGTAAATAAAAAGTGCCCGCAAAAATGGGACAGCCCTTTTCCGGCCATTTGGAGTCGATTAGGCCCTACTTTCTTTTCCATGCATTTTATTGTTACTTGTCAGAAGACAGAGCTTGTTTCAAACCATTTGGGGTGGATTGGACCCTATTTTGAAATCTGACTTTTACATGCAGGTGGTGCCAAGAACATTATTTATTCAAGATTCCAGTATTCTTGACAAAAAGACAAAAACTTCATATGAGGATTTGAAAGCTGTTATCATCACATTATCGGAAGTGTTAGCAACAGCTGTACAGTGTTATAGGATTCTAATGTTAATGACGTGCGCACCTGCTTTGGTTCTTATGTCACCAATGACCCCGGCCATGGTGGCGCGCAGTGAAGGGTCGGGCTGCACCATGCGGCACACGGTGCTGCAGTAGGGGCTGTCCTTCAGAAACTCTTTGATCTTCTCTGGGTTCACACTGGTGGTGACCAGGCGGACTCGGGCGCACAGTTCAGCGATGATCTTTCCCATGGCCCAGACGTCCGAGCGCTGGTCCCGCTGGCTGCTGATCCTCAGGACCTCCGGGGCAGAGTACGCCTCGTTGCCCATGTCCATCGCAGAGTTCAGACCATTTTTGAAGAACTTGGCCAGCCCCAGGTCGATGATGACGGCTCTGTTTGTGCCGTGTTCCACCTGCAAGAGAGGTGAAGGAAAAGTGTCAAATTGTAATGAGATCTATCTTCTTTATTGCCAGACTTCAGTCTCCACATACACTTGATCCAGTTAAATCAGGGCAGTCCTGAGGTGTTGCCCTGAATGAGCATTGGGTCCTGGAAGAGCCTAAGTGGAAAATACCTAAACAGACATTAACTCTATCTGCAAATGGTGTGCACTATCTACTGTATATCTATGTGCAGGTTTTTTTGTGTTATTTTTCGCTGCTGAAGAAAAGGAGTGCTGAAGGAAGGAGAAGCTCTTTTTCCTTGACGGTATATACATCATTCGCTGCTCTTGCTGCGTGTACGGGCCTTCAGAGGGAAGCCCAGCCTGGTCTTTCAGCGCACGCCATTGTGTGAAAGAATCCCCCAAAAACACTCTGGTCTAATTTTAAGAGAACGTACAACGGCCACCAGAATGATGGACAATTAGGAGGACCAATATTCTTGATTATCCACCCGGAAAAACAAAACCGTACGCGCGCTCTGATAGGCTGATTACCGGTCTGATATTTTCCCATCTTGGACCGTTACCATAACAATTGGTCCGAACAGCGCGTATCACATTTGATATCTTTCCTCGGACCGTTACCATGACAATCGGTCTGCAGCGCGTATCACACTAAAACATGATTAGGAAAACCAACATGAACATACTTCACAAATATCTCAAAAGCATTGGTAAAGACACAGACGAGAGTCATATAATAAAACATTTATTAACCTCGCGCTCGTTTAATAAGCCGTTAATATCTTTTATTCCTGCTAAACTTTGGTAAATCTGTTTATATTTATGGACTATTTCATTTTTAATTGTTAAATGTATTTTTTCACTTTTTGTACACAAATGGCAGATAGTCAACAGGTTTGGCCTTGTTTGCCCACGTGGATAGGATAGGAGAAACCTTTATTTGTAAGTTTGGAAAAGAGAATAAATAGATATGTAGATTAAGAAACATTCTGAAATCATCATTGCAGTATTTACTATTTAGAGATGAGATGACATATGCAGGCCTAGCAACGGTGGATTAGTCTGTCACTGAAGCTGCTCTCCAGAGCAGAGAGAGTGTCCTGCAGGGGGCGACAGTCATGGTCCAAATAGATGTTAGTTTGTCCAGGACCCTCCTGTCCCCCACCTGCTGCACTGTGTCCAGGGAACAGCCCAGTAAAGAGCTGGACTTCCTGAGGACCTGTTCCAGCTTCTTCCTGTCCCTCTCTGTGCTGCTGCTGCAGACCACACCGTACAAGAGGCTGATACACACACAGCTACAGCTCCACAAAGTGCAGCGTTCTTTTGAGATGAAGTCTGAGACTGTACTGACCATGATGTTGTCTGGCTTCAGGTCTTGGTGGACAATGTCTAGCCGATGCAGATGGAGGAGGCCTTCACACATTCCCAAAATGATGGTGGTTTTTGCAGAGCTGGTTGACTGTGAAAGATACAAGATAACATTTGAACCAGAATTACATTGAGAAAACACAGTGTAACGTTACTTACACCATGATCTTACCGGCACTTTGGACTTTGACACGTTGAAAATAGTCATCTCCAAATCCTCTCCGTCAATGAACTCCAGTGGAATGACATATTTTCCATCTTTGCAAGTGACAGGGCCCAAGAGTTTCACAATGTTTAGGTGCTCCGCTTTTCTGAAATTACACATTATATCACAGATAAATGTACTTGAATTCAGGCTATTCATATTATCATTGTTAATTAAAGCACATAGATACATTCTACACCTTTAGATCAGCTTCTTCAGGCACAAAAGTAAACGAGAACGGAGCACTTCAGCCAATCAGCTCAAAGAATCAAATAGTGACTCACAGAGCTCTTTCTTACACGTATGGAAACAGTTGTGGCCTGATTTGTTCATGAAACCTCTTTATCTTTGAACAAACAAAATGTATTGTTTTTCTTTTGTTTCGTTTTTTGTCATAATATACATTCTACGGCAGCAACAAACCAGCAACCCTCGTCTGTTACTGCTCGAACTATACATAGTTCCCACATGACGTCACTACATACGGGGATTTGCCGACCCGGCGCCATTTGTCTTGGCATGCTGTGGGCAAAACAATAGAAAAAGAAGCTGAAACGTGTTAATGTCGTGATAAAGTTGAAAATGGTCATCTCCTGCTGGGTCAATGGATGTTCAAATCGTGCCGGAGGTTCCGTTAAACTTGGATTTTACAGTATACCCATCATTAGACTTCATGAATGTGAGAAGACTAAGCTTTTGTCAGAACAACCACGGAGGTTATGGCTTGCGAAGATAAACAGGCAAGAAACTCCCTCAAAACACGCAAGAATATGCTCGGAGCACTTTGTGTCAGGTGCGTATCGTATCTTATAATGTGTTGACAGACGTAATTTACTCAGTACTAACTTGTGTATGCTGATATCTGGTAACTTGAGAGTTTCATTATTTAGCGTTAGATTACTTTATTATGAGGAGGATCGGTGTCGCGTCCGAGGCTCTCGAGGGCAACGTAAATGTATTAAATAGATAATAATAGTTCTATGGTGGGCTAAAACAATGTTCACAAACAGCATTGCTTCTGTAAAAAGATCTGTGTCATAAAATAAACTGCTCTTTACGCCTGGAAAAATCAGTTGCCCACCATTCACCAAAACATACGGTCAAAAACGCGGAAATAAACAATAACAGCAATCCAGAGTGTCCGTGTGGCATTAGCATTAATTAAATTAATTGTTAATATAATTAAAATAATTAAATGGAGCTCCAACTGGTATTAAATCTAAAGTTTTTGAGAAATGTTTGCATTGCTTGTTAATTTTTGCTGCATAATTTGATCAAATATGTAAAACATGTCCGTAGCACGTTAAACTGTGGTGCCATTGTATTAATATACAATTATTTGCTCAAAAGTTGCCCTTTTTTTCCAATTTGCGTTTGAATATCTACATTTATTCTCATTCTTCTGTTTAATGGAATGCACAAACACAGCAGCGTGCCATCAAAGATGGCGTCTCCGAGGAGGTCATGTGACATTCATTGGTCTGTGGGAACTATGTATAGCAAGCTAAAGACGAACTTGAGAACAAAAGGTTCGAGAGAATAGGACTTCACTTTTCAATGCAAGTCAATATGAGCCAGACCGAGAGACCGAGTTGGAGCAAAACTTTATCCATGAACACTTTCTATTGGGCTTCATTGATTTTAGCCGGTTAGATCTACATGTATATACAGTCTACGGTAGGAATGCACTGAAACCACTTTATTCAAAGCCAGTTCGAGAACCTTAAAAGAGACCTATTCTCTTTTTGTTGGTATATTGTGATCTTTTTTGTCTTAAATAAAGCTCATTTTGACAGATAGTTTCATTCTCAGCGGTTTCTATCAATAATTATCGCACAAACAGAAGATCGCAGAAAAAAATGTCTAGACCGGTGTTCTGTGAGTTGGTCTGCCCGTCGAGATGATCTGGCTCAGCTGTTAATGAGGTAATGCAAACCTGCGCTGTGCGTCCCAAGCCCCGGCGATCCAAGATGGCGCCCTATTCAAATGAATGGTTTTGCTCAGTGGCGCTTTGTGACGGCATGGGGGCTGAAAGATTAGCGGAAGTCGCCTGAAACTCGCAAAGATCTATGGGAAACTCGCAAAGATCTATGGGAAACTCGCCTGTATTTGGGCATCGTCTGGTCCTCCCGGTTCTGCGCAGTGGATGATCTCCCATAACGCGTTGCGTCAAACACGCGTGTGTGGGTCTTACACCGGGTCTCACGCACGTGCACAGAGGGGCTCGGACGCGCTCTGACCAATCAGAGCAGTTCATCAGAGCGGGAGTTAGAGCGAGAGCCAGAGGAGCAGAGTTTGTGGCACTAAAGTGTGGATTTAAACAAAACCGAAGGATTTAAGAAGAAAAAAAGTTCAGGATGACAAGGGACACTAAAATCTCCACAAAATCCGATCTTTATTAAAGCTGTAGGTTCTCTGTCAGCTGAGGTTGAGCTGTTTTAATATGCATTGAGTTCTAAGGGGAAAATTTCTGGGTAGCCCAAGTGAATTTAGTCTGGTTCAGTCTGCAGTACCGCGAGAATCCCCCGAGCACGTGAGTTATTCAGCTACAAGCTAGTAATACCCTATCCAGTTATTATAATACATCCATGTGTGCGTCTCACGGCAGCTGAAGCAAACCAAGATGGCGGACATGTAGTCCGCGAATTGCTTTAAAAGTTAAATACGAACGAATTAAGACACAAATGTCACTTTTAATGAAATTTGAGGCGAGATGTTGATGTTTCCGTGTTGTGATATGTGGGTTTAAAGAGTAAGAGTTTCGTGTAAAGTTTGTTTTAAGCAGTCCACTGCTCCTGTGAAACTACACTGCTGGTGTACCCAAATCTGATTTGCGCATGCGCACAAACCAGAATGGGGAAAAAACTCAATCTAATTAAATATTTCGTTTGAACACACTATAGTTAATCATATTGAATACAGTATGATACATGCATTAAATTAAATGTATTATTTCCATTATCAACCCGACAGACCAGTCACAGGACGCGTCATGGGCCTGACGTATGCAGCAGTCAACTCAGGGACAGCGATCACACAGCAGCAGTGTAGTTTCACAGGAGCAGTGTACTGCTTAAAACAAACTTTACACAAAACTCTTACTCTTAAAACACACATATCACAACACGGAACCATCAACATCTCGCCTCAAATTGTATTAAAAGTGACATTCGTGTCTTAATTCGTTCGTATTTTAACTTTTAAAGCAATTCGCGGACTTCATGTCCGCCATCTTGGTTTGCTTCAGCTGCCGTGAGACGCGCAGCGCAGGTTTGCATTACATCATTAACAGCTGAGGCAGATCATCTCTGGGCTTTGTTGATATGCATTTGTAAGCCATAACGTTGTATACAGACGTTTTAAACAAATATTTGTTATTCAGTGATGGACAATACAAGGCAGGTTTTTATTTTTGAGCCCTTGCTTACTTGTTATGACAATAATTTAGATTTTAAGGACTCAGACGTCAGTTGAGATGAGGAGCCATCTTCAAGAAATGAACATTTGTGGACTTTAGGGCCGTTTCCACGGGCTGGACTCATGGATCTATGGTCCGACCCGTTTCGACTCGGTTTGGGGATGCGGTTAACATCTTCAGTTTGAGCTCGATGGTGCCACCCGAATGAGTGTAAATAAGTGTTAGCGAAGATAGCGCTAGGGACAAAGGAATGGATCACAGAGCAGAGAAAAGTTAAAACGCTTAAAAGTGACTACCTTGAAATGCAAGATCACAACAGTAAAAGTGGACAGAACCGAAAAGTCTGGAGGTGGTTTGAAAAATTTATTATATTTACGCCACCAGCTAACACGCTAACACCAGCTAACACGCTAACACCAGCTAACACGCTAACACCCGCAACACCGAGAGAGAACCCTAGCTCCAGATGTTGAGTTTGAGAGAAATGGTGATCGTCGATTTTCAATCAAATGAACCTGGTCTTATTCTGAACATGTGTCTGTGGTTCTAAAGTCTTATTCTGAACATGTGTCTGTGGTTCTAAAGTCTTATTCTGAACATGTGTCTGTGGTTCTAAAGTCTTATTCTGAACATGTGTCTGTGGTTCTAAAGTCTTATTCTGAACGTGTGTCTGTGGTTCTAAAGGTTCTTAAACTATCTGTCTATAAAACTATCTGTCAAAATGAGTTTTATTTAAGACAAAAAAGATCACAATATACCAACAAAAAGAGAATAGGTCTCTTTTAAGGTTCTCGAACTGGTTTTGAATAAAGTGGTTTCAGTGCATTCCTGCCGTAGACTGTATATACATGTAGATCTAACCGGCTAACTCAATGAAGCCAGAACCACATATCGTTATCGTGATAATATCGTTATTGTGATAATATCATTATCGTGATAATATCATTATCGTGATAATATCATTATCGTGATAATATCGTTATCGTGATAATATCGTTATCGTGATAATATTGTTATTGTGAGATTTGTATCGTGTATCGTATCGTATCGTATCGTATCGTGAGGTACCCTTAGGTTCCCACCCCTACTGAACGTGTGCCTGTGGATCTAAAGTCTTATTCTGAACATGTGTCTGTGGATCTAAAGTCTCATTCTGAACGTGTGTTTGTGTTTCTAAAGTCTCATTCTGAACGTGTGTCTGTGGTTCTAAAGTCTTATTCTGATTGTGTGTCTGTGTTTCTAAAGTCTTACACTAAACGTGTGTCTGTGGTTCTAATAATGTGTGGGTCTAAAACATGTTGGTATGTGTCATATCTATATCTTTTACGAAACGTAGTTAGAGTGAAACATGAATTCATGGTTCAATGAGAGTTGTTGTGTTTTCTGCTGAACACTGGGTTGAAACTCGTAAAACTGGTTTTGGTTAGAGATTGAAGAGACTGATTTTCTCTCAGTTTGTTTGGACCGTGGCCTTCTCTGAGTAAGTCAAAGATCGTAGGGATTGCTGTTTACACTCTTCTTTTAGTAACTTTCATCGCTGCATCCTGGGGGCATGCAAAATACACCCATTTTAAGGAAATCGTTGTTCCTTTATCTCTACAGTCTTATTTGTGTCGCAGCAGCAAATATACAGTGGGGCAAAAAAGTATTTAGTCAGCCACCGATTGTGCAGGTTCTCCCACTTAAAATAATGACAGAGGTCTATAATTTTCATCATAGGTACACTTTAACTGTGAGAGACAGAATGTGAAAAAAAAATCCAGGAATTCACATTGTAGGATTTTTAAAGAATTTATTTGTAAATTATGGTGGAAAATAAGTTTTTGGTCACTTCAAACAAGGAAGATCTCTGGCTCTCACAGACCTGTAACTTCTCTTCTGTCCTCCACTCGTTACATGTATTAATGGCACCTTTTTGAACTCGTTATCTGTATAAAAGACACCTGTCCACAGCCTCAAACAGTCAGACTCCAAACTCCACTATGGCCAAGACCAAAGAGCTGTCGAAGGACACCAGGAAAAGAATTGTAGACCTGCACCAGACTGGGAAGAGTGAATCTACAATAGGCAAGCAGCTTGGCAATTATCAAAAAAATGGAAGACATACAAGACCACTGATAATCTCCCTCGATCTGGGGCTCCACGCAAGATCTCATTCCGTGGGGTCAAAATGATCATGAGAACGGTGATCAAAAATCCCAGAACCACACGGGGGGACCTGGTGAATGACCTGCAGAGAGCTGGGACCAAAGTAACAAAGGTTACCATCAGTAACACACTACGACGACAGGGAATCAAATCCTGCAGTGCCAGACGTGTCCCCCTGCTGAAGCCAGTGCATGTCCAGGCCCGTCTGAAGTTTGCCAGAGAGCACATGGATGATACAGCAGAGGATTGGGAGAATGTCATGTGGTCAGATGGAACCAAAGTAGAACTGTTTGGTATAAACTCAACTCTTTGGATACAGAGTTGCATCCCAAGAACACCATACCTACTTTGAAGCATGGGGGTGGAAACGTCATGCTTTGGGGCTGTTTTTTCTGCTAAGAGGACAGGACGACTGATCCGTGTTAAGGAAAGAATGAATGGGGCCATGTATCGTGAGATTTTGAGCCAAAACCTCCTTCCATCAGTGAGAGCTTTGAAGATGAAACGTGGCTGGGTCTTCCAGCATGACAATGATCCCAAACACCGCCCGGGCAACGAAGGAGTGGCTCCGTAAGAAGCATTTGAAATTTCTGGAGTGGCCTAGCCAGTCTCCAGACCTCAACCCCATTGAAAATCTGTGGAGGGAGTTGAAAGTCTGTGTTCACTGCTCTTGAGAAGATCTGCATGGAGGAATGGGCCAAAATACCAGCTACTGTGTGTGCAAACCTGGTAAAGCCAACAAAGGTTATATTACAAAGTATTGAGTTGAATTTTTGTTATTGACCAAATACTTATTTTCCACCATCATTTAAAAATTAATTATTTAAAAATCCTACAATGTGAATTCCTGGATTTTTTTTTTCCACATTCTGTCTCTCACAGTTGATGTGTACCTATGATGAAAATTACAGACCTCTGTCATTATTTTAAGTGGGAGAACTTGCACAATCGGTGGCTGACTAAATACTTTTTTGCCCCACTGTATATTTAAAAATTAGTTTTTAATAAGGATAGTTCCCTTTTAATTTGAGTACTTGCAAATACGGAAAGCAAATAAGAGCACTGCATTGCATTATCCCTGAGAATTAATAAAACTATGGGCTATATGCACGGGGAGGCGTGACGTCATTTCCTGTTAACGCAGATCAGCCCGTTCACTTCCTGCCTGTGCTATCCTATGGCATTTAGGTGGGTTTTAGTGATGTTTTTTAGTAATTAGATTGATACATTCAGCTGAGACTGACCCAAAAGTGTCGCTGTGCTTTCTCTCTGAGGTAGAGCTTTGACTGTGGCCACTCAGAGCGATTTTTAAACTTTAAAACACAATGACAGCACAATCAAAGAGCACTGCTGTGTCCCAAAAATGCCCAGTATCCTCACAGTGTAATTTCCGTTTGAGCATTATTTGGGAAACTCGTGTAAACCACTGCTGAACTCCGGTGAAACTCAAGCCATTTCCCGCGAACAGGAAGTGAAGTGGGGCTTTAGCTAAAACGCGGAAGTGGTGCGTGCATAGAGCCCATTACAATGCCGACTTTGCGAGATCACCATGGCAACATGTACCGCTCTGCTGTCGTGACCCCAATGTGAATTTAAAATGTGGGTATCGGTTGCCGGGAGTGGGTGCTATGCTATGAGTATGAGTACAAGCCTATGTTATTGATCCGGTAACCGATACCAGTATCTGTGAATCCCAAGTCTATGATGCACTCACTTATAGACGGCACACTCCCTCTCCAGGTCCTTCATGTTGATGAGACCCATTGGGACCCTCTTGATTGCGGCCCACTTGTCGCCGTACTTCTCCTTGTAGACTTTGCCAAAACAGCCCTTGGCGATGGTTTTAGTGGAGTGCGCCATGGGGAGGCAGCTGGACACAAGCAGTGACCTGGTTATTATCATTTTCAGTTATTCTAATGGTGTTGTATAGGAGAATCTGTCTTTGTTTACATCCGCGTGCGCAGTACCGCAGTTTTTCACTGCGGTAAAGTGGCCCGGCTTTTCGCCTTCGTGGTAAAGTGGTCCACGCATTAAAAGCGGGGTGCCCCTTTAAGCTGTTACTTACGGTAAACGTGGAAAAGGGGAACAAGTGTGGAGTGGAAGTAGTTGCAAAAGGTATTTTTTCTAAATTCATTTTTATCCCTTTATCCTCCCGGCTCCCCTTTCCACGTTTACCGTAGGTAACAACATAAAAGAGCAACCCACTTTTAATGTGTCGACCACTTTACCGCGGCCGTTTTTTGCTGTTCTTTTCCGAAAGAATTAGAAAAAAAACGTTATGTACCAGCGAGCAGAATGGACCATTTGATTTAGTAAAACCTCTCTCCAAACGTCTGAACATAGCTAACTCTAGCATCCAGGTACCTTTCGATGCTGTTTTGCCACCTGGTCAGAACAGCATCTGCCACCTGGTCACGCGACCGGCACGTAATGACTATAAACAACGACGTCACTCGACGTCACTCAAAGATCCTCCTGTTGAACAGAACCAAATTGAATCCAAGTGAATACGTTTTCATTCACGCTTCTTTATTTCAAACTTGTGTACACATTTAACAAAAAACAAACAAGAAAAAAAAATAGAAATAGATTTTAGCAATTCATTAAGCATGCACACACGTTCCTATATTACTGGGTGGGTCTGTCTATTCTTATTTCATGAACATAGGGACAAACTAAAACCAACTGGCTCCTCTTGATGTGGAGAAGGAGCGGCTCTACTCCTTATCCTATCTCTGAGGGAGCAACCACTCTGCAGAGGAAGCTCATTGTAATCCCGATCTCGTCCTTTCGGTCATTACCCAAAGCTCATGACCAGAGGTGGGGGAAGGAACGGTAAACAGATTTGCCTCAGCTCCCAACCACAATAGTCCGATACAGCAGCTGCATCATGGACAGGACATGCTCTATCCTTCTCCCACTCGTGACCAAGACCCCAAGATACTTGAACTCCACCACTTTTTCCGATCGATCACCATGGCCTCGGATTTGGACGAGCTGATTCTCATCCCAGCCGCTTCACACTCAGCTGTACACTGTTCCAGGACATGCAGCAGGTCCAGGTTTGTTGGAGCCAATAGGACAACATCGTCCGCAAACAGCAGGGAAGAAATCCTGTGGTTCCCAAACCGGACCCCTCAGGCCCCTGGCTGCGCCCTCAGCAGAGGACCCCAAGAACCCCTCAAAGGCCTCTCCAGGGAACACGGTCAAACGCCTCCTCTCCAGTACCTTGTCTTATGACATCCAGCGTCCCTAACCCATTCCTGGACAACAGCTCAAAGTATTCCTAGCACAAACTGGGATGAAAATGAAAAATGGCCTTCCATCGAAAAATGTCATGGTAATAACATCGCTATCTTACATTTGCTGGTTTAGAAGAACCAAATAACTTCATCTACTTAGAGGACTTGAAACACCTCAATGTCCTTAGATGTCCCGAATGGATCATCACCGTCTTCAGCATCAGCAAGGAACCACTCAATAAAACCCAGTGGGAAGACAAAGGGGAAGCCCATATTGAGAGAGGAATCCAGGCTGTAGACCGAGGACAGAGACTGGGGACGGGGGTGCAGCCTACAGGTCCAGGCTGGGGGAGACCGGTCCACAGCTCCAGTTACATTATACATGGAACGTATTCGTGGAAAAGGATTTGATATAAATTCCTTCGTGTTTCTTTACATAATAAGCCTTCCTTGGAAAGACTCAAATAATCAGTAATTACAGATGTTCAGCTGCCAAGACGGAAAAGATTTAATCTTTATTTACACAGTGCATTTTCACAAACCAAGGTCACACAAAGAAATGAAATGGAATTAGAAAGATACATTCTCAAGAAGGGAGTGTCTTCAGGAACTCTTCTTGAGAAAAAAAAAGGACATACTGTCCTGTTGAACCAGAAACCAACAGTTGAGAATGTTCTCACGTCAAACAAGTGAAAGTAAATGAAAGGCTTTGACCACAGGTGTAAAAGTTCATACACACGGCTATTCAAAGTGGTTCACAAAACAAGAAAAGAAACAACATGAAGCACATCTTATTAAAAATAAAATAATTATCAATAGTACATTAAAAGAGTACAAGATACAATCCTTCCCTGTGCTCCTCCGAGTCCCAACAGGAGGCCAGTCCCTGTGCTCCTCCGAGTCCCAGCAGGAGGCCAGTCCCTGTGCTCCTCAGGGTCTTTATTGCTGAGTGGGTTTCTCTATTCTTATCTCTTGAACATAGGGACAAACTCAAAGCAAGGAGGAGTTGTTCTGTCAGGAGATCCTACATCCCCTCAGCGTTCCCTATGGACCAACGACTCCTGTGGTCAAACTTTTTGATCTATTGTTGGCGAGTCGACAACGTTATGAAGTCCTCAAAGACAACCGCTTTTGTAATTTAAGGCTATAGAGAAATACATGGAATTGTTTTTATTTTATCTAACTCGAATCTACTGCATAATTATCAGATTCTTTACAATGAGGACAGCTTCTATGATCACTCTTCTCTAGCTTCTCTCTTCTGCGCTGATGGACAGAAAGAGGTGATAGCTGAATGAGCAAAGATCTGGCACAACTTCAGAAAATGCTAAATATAAATTGTGAAGAAGGGAGTGTCATTGGGATCTCTTCTTGAACTAGAACATCTTCTTTTTCAAGTATTTGAATCAGAAGCCAACAGCTCAGTGGAGAATGCTCTCACATCAATCAAAGGAGTTTGTTTTGTTAATGTCATCGGAGGTGATTCTTTGGAAAACAAGGACAAGAGTGAAATCAATCAGAACCTGGATTATTCAGAATATATTTTGGTTATTGACTATAATAATAATAATAATACTGCATCGGTTTATAAAGTGCTTTTTTGGACACTCAAAGACGCTTCACATGTCATTCATTCACTCCATACACAGTGGTGATAAACTACTGCTGTAGCCACAACTGCCCTGGGGCACACTGACAGAAGCGAGGCAACCAGTCTGTGCCATCGGCCCCTCCGACCACCACCAACCATTCACACACACACCAGACTCATTCTGGGCAATGGGGGTGAAGTGTCTTGCCTAAGGACACAACGGTTTGGCACTTTACAGCCGCAGCCGCCCCACCGTGCACCTGGTGTTCCCAGACACCAGGTGCACAGTTCATACTCTAATAAAGAAGTAAGTAATGTTTATTTATACAGCGCAGGTTTACAGACGTGTTACTCTTTACAATGTTCAGATATTGTTCTATTCTCTTCACGCTAAGTGCTAAAAACAAATCATAATAATCACAGCCCATTAAAAAGAGTGACGATGCAATCCTTCAGTTATATGCACAGAACTGTTTTAACCTGGATTTGAAGGTTATCAAATAAGAAGCCTGTCTCACATTTTCAGGAAGACTGTTCCAGGTTTTAGCTGCCTCCCCATGTTACCCTAGGAGCAGCAGGAGGCCAGTCCCTGTGCTCCTCAGAGTCAGAGGAGGACCAGAGAAAGATCAGAGAGAGACCAGAAAGAGACAAGAGAGAGACCAGAGAGAGACCAGAAAGGAACCATAAAGAGACCAGAGACAGATCAGAGAGAGACCAGAGAGAGACCAAAGAGAGACCAGAGACATATCAGCGAGAGACCAGAGAGGGACCATAGAGAGACCAGAGAGAGACCAGAGAGAGACCAAAGAGAGACCAGAAAGAGACAAGAGAGAGACCAGAGAGAGACCAGAAAGGAACCATAGAGAGACCAAAGAGAGACCAGAGACATATCAGCGAGAGACCAGAGAGGGACCATAGAGAGACCAGAGAGAGACCAGAGAGAGACCAAAGAGAGACCAGAAAGAGACAAGAGAGAGACCAGAGAGAGACCAGAAAGGAACCATAGAGAGACAAGAGACAGATCAGAAAGAGACCAGAGAGAGACCAGAGAGAGACCAGAGAGAGACCATAGAGAGACCAGAGACAGATCAAAGAGAGGCCAGAGAGAGACCAGAGAGACCAGAGAGAGACCATAGAGAGACCAGAGACAGATCAGAGAGAGACCAGAGAGAAAGATTGTTCAGAAAGAGACCAGAGATAGAGTGACAAGATAACTACTGTTGAAATTTAAAATATCTAAAATGGATTTGAGTCGACTCTCCAATGATTTATTGGGACATTCTTTAAGTCATGTCTTTCCTCCTGTGGACTCTGTGGACTGTGGACCACCTGCAGGAGGATGAGTGAGGGGCTGGTGCTGTGTGGACTGGGTGGCATCTTTGCCCCCCCCCCCCCCCCCCCCGACCCAGAAATGGATTAAGGGGAAGAAAATAGATGGATGGATCAACTTTAGTGCACGAGCCAAAATGAGGCGATGTTAAAGTCTTGATAGCATGAAAAACTGATACTTGACAAACTTGAATAACGACTGGACAGGTACAATCATAAAACATATATTCTATGGCTTATGTACATGGGTTCTGCCAAATAAAAGGATATATCTTAAAATAATGAAATTAATAAAACATGTTTAATAAAAAGATCAGTGTTTGTTTTCCCGGGAAGTGCCAGCTCTTATAGTTCTTACAGTTAAAGGTGGACTCTGAGGAGCACAGGGACTGGCCTCCTGAAAAAGTGAGACAGGCTTCTTCTCTGACAATGTTCAATCCAGGATTTTTATTTTTTTTATTGTACAGTGTTAAATATAGATAATTCTAATATGATTGTTTCATCTTTAATCTTCATTTGTTCAGCACGTTGAGTTTCCGTGTGTATGAACTGTGCTATACAGATAAACTTGCCTTGCCTTACTGTATGTTAATGCCCTCAAAATAGAAAGACCTAGATAAAAATACCAAGACCTGGAAAAACTACCTACAGTTCAACAAATGAATTTCAAAATGTCAGAAACATCTTGACAAAAATAAATAAATAGGTGTGGTATCAACTCATCAACAACTGAAATGAAAAGAAAAATAATTCGGAAATAATCTGGACACATCTTTATAAATGTCATTGACATAAACAATCACAAACACAATACAGAAAACTAAAATCAAAATCAGAAAAATAAAGTCTGTGTAAAGTTTGTGTCTTACCTTCTGCTCCAGAGTAACGTCTGAGTCAAGTCTGAAGGTCTGAACATGGATTTTCATCGTTTTTATAGTGATCCACGCCTCCTGCAGCGTTACCTGAGGAGACAACAAACCTGAACACACCTGAACAGCGCCCTCTACTGGTGAGAGAGGCCAACAGCACCGGTCCAAATGTGCAGTCATCCACAGTCACAAGCAGGTGGTCATTAAAGGAACAAAATGTAAAAATCTGGCCAAAAGTGGTACTGCAGTCACAGTCAATATTTTGTAGTCCTCTTCCACTCTCCCTGACTCAGGTTGCCAGATACACACCAAATTCAGCAGCAAACACAGGGAGTTATTTTATCAGTTGTTTGTCAGTCTCCATTCACATTGCCATGAGGCATGCTAATGTTGAATGAATGTTGAATTTAAAATTTTTATTTGGACATTTGAGATAAAAAACCAAATAAAAGCAATGTAATTATAGATTATCCCAAATAAAAAAGCAATTGATGTCCAAAATAGGAGTGGGAAGAATGGATGTTGGAACGTATTTCTTCAGCGTATCAACATCAGGGTTTGCTCCAGAGGATATCACCTTCAATTTTATTTATTCCCTATTTTTTAGACAATATGTATAAGTCCCACATCAAAAAGAGACTAACATTATTTTAATTTGGGTACATGTGGTCTTAAATTATTCTTTTTACAATTAAGCTATAATATGCAGTTATCTGCAGTTCATCCAGAGCGATCATGGGCCTCTTGACTGCATCTCTGATCAGTCTTCTCCTTGTTTGAGATGAAAGTTTGGAGGGACGGCCGGGTCTTGGTAGATTTGCAGTGGTCTGATACTCCTTCCATTTCAATATAATTGCTTGCACAGTGCTCCTTGAGATTGTGGCATATTGAAAAGATATGGGAATAGATTTAAATGAATGTACCAAAATTGAATGCCTGGATAAATGAGTGAAAGTAATGATCAGCAACGCCATGGAAAATACCAAAGACACACAGATTCGATAACTTCAAAGAGAAATGAAATACCAGACTCCATCCTGTACAAAATGGTGGTTTATTAAGGTGAGGGCCGCACCATTGATACTTCAACCATTGTTAATTTATTCAAACTATAGGAATTTCATTTTTAATACATGAAAGTTAAAACTGCCCACTCAGGATGGGACCTGTTTAAAATTAGAGGGCTGAGGCTACAGTGGGAAGTTGTGGCAAAAGAAAGAGGGGAGCAGACACTACAAAACACACTTTCAACAGTTAACGGATTAACAAACTCCCCTGTTCAGCTGCCATTCGAATTTGCTTCAGAATCTAAATGCAATGAGTTTGCACAATTTTTCAATGACAAGGTTCAGAGCATCAAAAACGCCATCACCTCCAAGGCAGAAATAACATTACAACAGCCGGTGAGGCTTTTTGAGCTATCGCACTTTGCACCAACAGATAATGAAACTGTCCAAGATGTTGTCTCTAGCCTTAGTTCCTCCACATGTAGCCTGGATGTACTACCCACTAAATTTTTTAAGTCTGTTTTGAGCAGTCTTTTACCTTTGCTCACACAAATAGTGAACATGTCTCTCTCATCTGGAACATTTCCAATGGCCCTGAAAACGGCAGTCATCAGACCCCTCCTAAAAAAGAGGAGTCTAGATGCCACAGTTCTTAAGAATTACCGCCCCATTTCAAATCTGCCGTTTATGGGAAAAATTCTGGAAAAAGTTGCTTACCAACAACTTACAGAATTCTTAGTAACTAATAGTTCCTTTGATGCGCTCCAGTCCGGCTTTAGAGCCAATCACAGCACTGAGACTGCACTAGTGAAGGTTACAAATGACATCCGACTTAACACCGACACAGGAAAAGTCACAGTTTTAGTAATGTTGGATCTGAGTGCTGCGTTCGACACAGTCGACCACGAGATCCTCATGCAGAGACTAGAGCACTGGGTGGGTGTCACTGGGACTGCCCTAAGTTGGTTTAGGTCTTACCTAGAAGACAGGAAATACTTGGTTCAGATAGGAAACTGTGTCTCAGATGATATGGCTCTGACCTGCGGAGTGCCACAGGGATCAATTCTGGGGCCTCTTCTGTTCAATATTTACATACTGCCATTAGGTCAGTTAATACGCTCCAACAATGTATCCTACCACAATTACGCTGATGACACTCAAATTTATGTCTCACTTACTGCAGGAGAACATGGACCAGTGGAATCACTCCTTCACTGTATCCAACAGATCAGTGATTGGATGCAAAATAACTTCCTTCAGCTAAACGCAGACAAAACAGAATTGATTGTCTTTGGTCCTCAGAAACAAAGAGAGAGCGTTATTCGTCACCGCCAGTCTCTCTCCCTGGAACCTGTAGGCAAGGTCAGAAACCTAGGAGTTATAATGGACTCAGACTTAAATTTTAACAGTCATATCAAATCAGTAACATCAGCAGCATTTTACCATCTGAAAAACATTGCCAAAATTAGAAACATAGTGTCTAAATCAGATCTGCAAATTCTCATCCATGCATTTGTCTCCAGTAGGTTAGACTACTGCAATGGCCTGCTCACAGGTCTCTCCAAACAGGCTGTAAAACAACTGCAGTATGTCCAAAATGCTGCAGCTCGAGTCCTGACCAGGACCAGGAAATATAACCACATTAGTCCAGTTCTCAGGTCTCTGCACTGGCTTCCTGTGGCTCAGAGAATAGACTTCAAAGCAGCACTGCTTGTGTACAAGTCTCTCCATGGCCTCGCACCAAAGTACTTAAGCGACTTGTTAGTGCCATATGAACCGGCCCGGACTCTGAGGAGCACAGGAGGTAGCCTCTTACTGGTTCCAAGAGTCAGAACTAAACATGGGGAGGCAGCGTTTGAGATTTATGGAGCTAAAATCTGGAACAATCTTCCTGAGGATGTGAGGCTAGCATCTACTCTGGCAATTTTCAAATCAGGGCTAAAAACTGTTCTTTTTAGCTGTGCATACGGCTGAAGGATTTTATTGATACATACTCTTTTTTTTTTTAATGCATTGTGGTTATTTATTATTTTAATCCCGTGTGTGCTTTTAATATTTTAAGGTTTTTTTCATTACTTGTGATTTTATTCTGTTTTTAATGTATTTATTGTTTGTATATGTAGTTTTTGATGTTTCTGATTTGTCTGATATTACGTGGGTTGTGAGGCGCTTTGAGTGGCCTTGTGTTGGAAAGGCGCCATACAAATAAAGTTGATTGATTGATTGAAAAAGGGGAACCTAGACCGTTCGGCTCAAACACCACCACCAGGGGTCACCAGTGCACCCACATGGAACCTCAGCTCCTAAAACAAAAGTAAAGTTTAGTGCAGATAACGATACACTTTCATCCCAGAATCACAGACAGTCAGGTCAAGTTTACAGTATATTCATTAACAATGTAGAGTCCAACATAATCTCTAGGCAAAACAACAGTGAGCGCTTCAATATGGGGCCAGGAGAAGCGTTGCGGCCGGCTATCAGGGACTGGCTCACAGGGAGTACTTGTTACTTTCGATGAAGAGGACTAGAAAGTACGTTCAAGTGGGTTCAATATGCCCACACCACTGCACTTCAATACTCGAGGCAAAAGGCAGGCAGCCTGCATGGGACCACAGGACCACTCAGGTTTGGGGACTTGAGCTAATGTTGAGGGATTTAACCTCCCTTGGCATTGTGCAAAGCCAGGACCAGGCTAACCCACATGAGCTGCAGCGGCGTAGCAGAGCTGTCACTATGACAGAGAGTGCGCGAGGCAGCCCCTCGTCAGCCTGGCCAGACGCAGACTGGGAAGCAGCATGGGGGGGGGGGCGTGTCCAAAAGGGGCGCACCCGAGAGAGAGACGTGCATTTATAGAGCGAACCAAATGCTGTGTCTTAAGGGGACAGGCGCGACCCGTTTCAAGCACAGTTTAATTCATATTGTCACAAGATGTTTAAAGCGTGGGAAATCTTTTTGTATCCAAATCCAGCTTTAAACTTCTCCACAACAGTATCTCGGACCTGCCTGGTGTGTTCCTTTGTCTTCATGGTTCTCTCTGCGCTTTAAACAGAACCCTGAGAGTCTGAGACTATCAAAGAGCAGGTGCATTTATACGGAGACTTGATTACACACAGGTGCATTCTATTTATCATCATCAGTCATTTAGGACAACATTGGATCATTCAAAGATCCTCACTGAACTTCTGGAGTGAGTTTGCTGCACTGAAAGTAAAGGGGCCAAATAATATTGCACGCCCCACTTTTCAGTTTTTTATATTTTTTTAAAGTTTAAATTATCCAATAAATTTCGTTCCACTTCACGATTGTGTCCAACTTGTTGTTGATTCATGACAACAAATTTAAATTTTATATCTTTATGTTTGAAGCCTGAAATGTGGCGAAATGTTGAAAGGTTCAAGGGGGCCGAATACATTCGCAAGGCACTGTACATTAAACATGAAAACCTGCAGCAGGGGGAGCTCGGAGTAGAGCTAAGGATCTTTATAACACTTTTGAAACAACTGGTTAAAGCTGATCATCCTTAAAGTCAATACTTTGCACTTGTTTTGGTCTGAGGGTTGCTATATCGTCTACATTTTCTATTGATATCGATGACACAAGTTTATAATATCAATTGTTATTGTTCTATCGCCCTACTGCACTAACGAAAGTACATTTTAAAACTGAGACTTCTTCAAGCTCTGACCAAACAGCTTTATGTTAATGACCTGAAGATATTTTTAATTTGAATTGTGACAAATTAGTTTAGGGGCGACAGTAGCTCAGTTGGTAGAGCATTGGCCTTTAGGCCTGAAGGTCGTGGGTTCACCTTGATACCTTCTCCACCGACTCCCACTGATGTCTGCTGTCGTTGTGTCCTTGGGCAAGACACTTAACCCCACTTTGCCCAAAGTTCCCGCTGAGAGATCATGGCTATGCTCACATTGACAGAGCAGCCATCCTCCTGTGGACTCACCACCTGCAGAGGATCAGTGAGGGGCTGGTGCTATGAGACTTGGGTGGCATCTCTGACTGCCACCCCCCCCCGACCCAGATGAATTGTGACATAACAAACATAATAACTAATAGTTTATTCATTCATTCATT